GCTCTATCCCCAGAGTGATAGAAATGTCTGTCCATATATATCTGCAAGGTTAGTCTGTAAATGTGTGGTGTTAGAAAAGCAGGCTAAGTTCTGGGATGGTTGTAGAAGGAGAAAGAAGCCCAGAGGCCAGTGCAAGCAGGTAGCCCTCAGCTTGCACATCATGTCCCCTCCCTGCAGGTTCATGTCCTTGAGCCCAGGCCCTGAGAAGTGGCATGGAGGTGAGCCCAGAGCTGTCCCTGAGGTGAGTCTGAGAATAAGTGCAAGGCAGAGGTGCTGCTGAGGAACACAAACTCTGCCTGGCCACGGAGCCTGCAAGGAGGAGCAGAGGCAGCCCTGGCAGTGTGGGGGGCCAGGTTGTCCGTGTGCCTTCCCCTGCAGGCCCTGGCTGTCCCTGCTGGGCCCCTGTCCACCCCCCCTGGGCTGAGCTCCCCCCAGGAACTGCCATGGAGCTGAAGCTGCTGCCATCCCCCCTCTGCAGCTGCTGCCTCAGCCAAGGGAGCAGCAAAGGCAGGGCCAGGAGCAGAGGCAGCAGCAGGGAAGCCCTGGGGGGGCCGGGAAGCTCTTGTGTGGGGCAGGAAAGAGGCGCTGGGCACGAGGCCGGTGCTGTGCTGAGCAGGCCCAGCCCTCACTGCAGACATTGCAGGGAAATCTGTGCTGGCAGCCCGAGTATGTCCTGACCCTCCATGCTCCCCCTAGGATATTTGGGATGAATTCCCCCTTCCCGGGCACCCGCGGGATGGGGGGGTGATTGTTCTCCTGCTGTTCCTGTTCCTGCTCCACCTCTGGGAGTCTTGGGGGTTGTCGGGAGGTGTTTTCTGGGGGTGCCGGGCTGGGTTGGCAGCAGAGCCCCGGCGATGGGTGGGGGATGCGGGTCCCCCCCCATGGTGGGGGTTGGTGTTGCTGGGTCAGTCCCCGCCGGCTCCATTGTCAGCCCAGTGCCGGTGGGGGGGACACAGCGGTTTTGGGCCCCCCCGGGAGTGCCAGGGGTGGGTGTGGAGCCCAGGAGCTCCGAGTGTGGAGGGCGGAGCAGGGCGATGCCGGAGCTGGGGGACCCCCGGGAGCCTGAAGCAGGGGGTGTAGAGAAGGGGAAGCCTGGACAGTGGGGACCCCTGGGATCCGTGGGACAACAGAGTGGAGAACCTGGAGGGGGGGAATGTCTGGGAACGTGGCACTCCGAAGGCGAGAGTCAGAGGAGAAGGGACCCTTGGGACCCCCAAGACTCCCAGCATCCCAGACAGGGGAGACCCTCTGAACCCCAGAGGGGAGAGACCAGAGAGGAGGAACTCCTGGAAGAGTTTATTTGGGGAAACCGTCATGTTTTAGAGTATTTTTTGGTTGAATATGGGTGGTTTGGGTTTTTCTGGGCTGAATCTTGGTGTTTTGGAGGTTTTTATGGTCACAGGATACCCGGTGAGTTCTAGAGATGGACTTGGCCAGGAGGAACCCCAAGCCAATGTGCTCAGCCCTTGTTTTCTCCCCCATCAGGATTTGTCCTTCCCAAAGCTTGGGCGGATGGACGAGGAGGCTGCGAGGAAGAGGAAGATGCCTTGGGCCCCCCAGGCAGGTGAGGAAGAAGTCAGTGGCCCTTTGGGCCGGTGTTGTGCTGGCTCTGGCAGCCGAGCATGGCCCCCGGCTGCAGGACAACCCCGCTGCCGCCGCCGTCCTGCCGGGGCCGGAGTTGGGGGGATGTCCTTGGCCTTCCCTCTGGGCCGGAGGCAAATCCCCTCCCTGTCCTTCTTGCTTCCTGCCCCAGGCCCCGAGCTGAGGACAGAGAGCCCGGAGGACAAATCCCCCCGGCAGAGCCTGGTGGGAGAGGCCGTTTTGAAGGGCTCCACGGCGCAGGAAGGCAGCGGGGAGGAAAAGGGCCGGAGATCCCCCCTGCAGGAGGGGCTCCAAAGCCAGCCCAGGGTGCTCTGAGGAGGAAAGACCCAGCCTGTGCCAGGAAGGTGGCCAGAGCTTGAGGCAGAGCTCTGAGCTGGTGGTCCCTGAGCAGCCTCCCAGCAGGCAGAAGCCCTTCAAGTGCTTGGAATGTGGGAAGAGCTTCAGCAGGAGCACCAACCTCCTCACCCACCAGCACATCCACACTGGGGAATGGCCCTACAGGTGCTTGGAATGTGGGAAGAGGTTTCAGACCAGCTCACATCTCCTCAGGCATGAGCAGACACCCACGGATGAGAGGCCCTTCCGCTGCAGCAACTGCGGGAAGGGCTTCAACCAGAACTCCACCCTCATCATGCATTGGTGCATCCACACCGGGGAGAGGCCCTACAAGTGTGGGGAGTGTGGGAAGAGCTTCACCCACAGCTCTGCCTTGACCAAACACCAACAGACCCACCAGTAAGGGAAGCCCTCGAGTGCCCCGACTGCGGGAAGAGCTTCGGCCGTAGAACTGACACACAAAAAATGTTTCAATATGCCTTCACCATTTTGAGTATCTGCACTCCAACATCAATTTATTCTTTTGAATACGTGTAAGTTTAACCTCATTTTTGTCTGAAAGCCAAATTCACCACTACCCCATTCCCTGATAACCATGGGCTGATTCTGACAAGTGAGGCAGAAATTACCCACTGCTCAGCAAAAACCAGCCAATGGTCTCTGCCTTGGCAGCCCAGTTTCCCCAGTCTCATCTCAAAATGACCAGTTACACTGAAGCAAAGAGCACTGGAACCAGTGCAACAAGCCCCAGTCTGACTTTCACACCTGCCCACGTGCCCTGTTTTCTGCTGATCTACAGACTTCCTTGTTTAAAATGCAATGGAAAAATGAACAGTTTTTGGGGTTGTTTTGGTTTTGGGCTTGTTTTTTTTTTCCCCCCACTGTTCTCATTAACCTCATTTCAAATCTATTTCGGTGTTTGAAGATGAATTAAATTTTGAATGATTTTTAATGTTAATGCCTTGACCGAGGTATCAAAACATGAAAAATAAAAAAAAAGCCACCACAAAGCTGTCCATTATTGTCACAATCAAACACTCAGAAGTACTAACATGAGTGCAGTGAAAACCTCATAAATAAGACCATTAAAATAATTTTAATATTTATATATTAAAATATTTTTAATAAGCATAAAAAAAGGAAATTTAATTACTGACATTAGCTTTCCCCACCTCTCAAAAAGGTAATTTAGTTACATCTTAGTCACCCTTGAAAGGCTCTTTCCAGTTGGGTTGGCCTCTGCCTTAGACACTCACGAGATCTGCCAAAACCAATTTAAGGGCAAATTTCCCCACCAGGTTCAACTGCATTGGTTGTACCAAAAACTTTGCAAGTAACCCCACAACTTTCATCTTAAACTCTTCTCTCAACCTTGTAAAATAATTAGCAGTAAACAGACCTGATAATGTGTTATAATTAAGAACATGTTCTTGTTCTCAGAGTTATTCATACACCAAAAAGATGCCACAGGAATGGCCAAAATATTAGTAGCAACCTCTACACTTTTGAAATCTACATTTGGTTTAAAAGTTTTCACAGTGGTTGTTTCCTTATGAATTAAGGCACATTTTACTAACAAGTTTCAATAAAGTTACAAAAACATCTTTCTCCACTAAGACACATGCAGTGAGTCCTAACCTGAGGTAGACACTGAAAAGCCCAATTTTTTTCTTAGCTGTCATGAGTCTTTCATTCCTTCTGTGACATCAATTAGGCATCAGCCCATTTTTCAAGCTGCTGTTATCTACCAGCTCCTGGTTGGGTTTCCAAGCACAGTATTTTGGCCACGATAAAATCAGGGACCTGGGCAGTCATGTCAGAATGACAAAGAATACTGACACTCCCTGCCAAGGGAGACAAACCATTCCCAACCTCGACCAAAGGTTCAAAGCAACAATTTTGAAACAAAATTTACAAAGTTTTTCTCTTCAGTTTTTTGCTGCAATTCTCTGTTGCGCTATTAAAAGACCACAGCAGTGAAAGACAAGGTCTTATGGCCAAACCCAGGGCTTCAGCCACTTGAGGTCTATTGAAACCTTCTGTTCCTCAAGCGTGAGACTGAAATCCAACACATACAACACCCACGCATAAAACACCAACACATTGACCAAGTTTTCCGGAGTGAAATCTGAGGCTTCAACTTAAAAACTGAGGTGACCTCCCCTGGAAACAAATTCACTCCAACAGAGGGAGCTGAATGGACAGAATGAGGCTGTGAACAAACCAAACCTCAAGGTCTATGTCTCAAAGTTCATTAAAGCAAGGTTTTAGTCTCAAAGACACATCCCTGGTAACTTTGACACTGGAGGAAAGAGCAGACATGTCCTTTCTGGACAGCAAAGTCCATCATGAGTTCCTGTCAGAGACTGCACAGAACATGAGTGCTCTGGACAGCCCTAGTTCTGCTTTTACCACCATCAGGTGTTCTGTAAGCACAGCAGTCAAAGCACAAGTCATGTAGGTTTGGGTATTTTTAGCTAAGGCTGTTTGCCAGGTTTCTCAGATTTAGAGAGGAATTCCCGGTAAGATGTGACTTTATTCACAGATGCACTCTTTTTTGGGTGTTATTTTGAAATAATAAATTTTATTGCATTAAGCAAAGTATGTCAACTTCAATAAAGCTTCAATAAAGTGTTTTCAATTATTTTCCCTCTTCTCTTAAAAAATGGAAAATAAAAATCGGTGCTTCAACTAAACATTATCTATGCTAACCAGAGAGGGCAATACTAGATCTTTCAGGATCCACACATTTGGATGCTTTTGCAATTGCTTTTTGAAGCAACTTCTTTTGTAGACAACTGTTTCATTAAGTCAATTAAGGCTTTCACATTTACCCCCCTCCTTTAGGTAAGGATTATAAACCAGAAAAGGAGGGAAGAATTACTCAGTGTGTAACTGAAAGGCCAAAGTCCTACCCAAGAAACCAAATGTGACAACAGCTCATTTACAACCCAGTGAGAAAACAAACAAAAATGCACACAGAAAGATTTAGGAGTCATATGAAGATTAATATAAAAATGGAACATGAGTCACATATTTTAGAGATTCGAGCAGATGATTGGGGGCTAGAAAGGCATCAGTGGATAGCACAGGAAGAGTTTTGAGGAAGAGCTGGAAGGAGAAACATGGCAAGAAATATGCTGTTCTACACAGACCTGCAGTGGGAAAAACAGTTTAAGACTTCTGAAGGAACAAAGTAATAAAACTCACAGAGCCCAGGAGTAGAAGAGATTCAATACTTGCCAAAAAGCATCAAAACTAAGCTCATGGACATGCATTAAAAACTGAATTCCTCCAATTCATGAATTCCACTCTTTTGCTTCAGGACTCAACTCAGTGATAAAACTGGTCAGACTGAAAGAACTGGCTCTAAGGAACTGCTTCTTTTAAAGAAATGCATATGTTCCAAAGCACAGTGCTACAGGAATACAGCTTCCCACAAAAAAAGTTCATCCATGTACACAAAATGCAATGGATGCCCTCATTAAAAAGGCAGAATCAAGGTATTTTTGAATTTTAAGCAGCCAGAAAGACAAAAGGACCTGTGTCTGTCCACAGGCAGCTCCCAAGAAAGTCACAAAATGTGCCAGGGACAACAAAAGGTCAAGACCAAATTCCTTTTAGTTAAGGAAACTGGAGAAGGTTCTGTTCCTGTATTCATCCAGTATAGAACTGAATTAATTTTTCTACTCAAGCCTGCCAATTTTGTGTTTTGACTATATGAACAACGATTTGAAATCTATCAGCTAGCAGTTTAATTTAAAAAAAAAAACAAAACCAAACAAACAGAAAACTGTCCTGGCATTACATATCATTTTGTGCAAAGTCAGACCTTTGTGAATGAAAAACAGCAACAGAACAACCGTAGAACAGGAGACAGTTCCTGTCTGCTCAGAGACTCTCACTGATCCTGACAGAAGCAGAAGGAGAAACCAAGATGCAGGTGAGGCAAGTTCTTCCTGCTGTACTTTCCACACCATTTGTTACCCAAATCGTGCAGTGCCTCTCTAGAGACTCACCTGTGCACCAACCCTTCTGAACCAGCAAACCTACGACAGAAAAGCTCTCAACGAAACACGGAGTCAAATCCCAGGAGACCAAAGAACTCCAGCCAGATGTGAAGGCTGTTCTGCAGTGAGACAGGGGGAGAGCACTATCCAAGCATTGCCCATTTCCCAGAGCCCGGCAGGAATGATCCCTTCTGAAACACACGTGCGCACACGGCCACGCGCCAACGACCTTTAGAATGGATTCAACTAAAAGCTGCAACCAGTTCAACGTTAGAGTCTTGTCTGCTTGATTGGGTGTTTTTAAAAAACTAAAAAGTAAATGTTATTAGGAAGAACAACTTACCAGTCCTTCAACCAAGAGCAGCTATTTTGCTTACAGTGAGCAAATCAATTCCTCCACACATCTGTAGGGAAAATGGGATATTAAAACACTTGAATTAAAATTAAAAAACAATAAAGAAATCCTAAGGACCAAGCATTACCCTATGAATAGTATTACACAAGTTCCATCCCTGAATGAAAAAAAAACCAAACAAGCATTACAGATCGCAGCATATGCTACAAAAGACATTTTATAAAAAACTTTCAAGTATCACTAGGGATGTGTTATCAAAGAACCTGTGCAAACCACCCAAGAAATTCAGCCCCAGTCCTGTACACAAACCCCTTGAGAAATTACCACAAACCCCTCCCTTTTTAGTTTTTTTGAAAACGATCAGGCAGGCATCAAGTGGAAATGAACTTCAGTAAACTGACCTGCCCTTCACAAGATAAAATAAAATACCCTTTTTGCTGAGAGGTGGTATCAGCTGAATGAAGGGCATATAATGTAACACATTTCTATGGAACAAATTATCTACTCTATCCCAAAATTATCCCCGTATGGGCAAGGCCCGAATGTAAAACCCTGACTTTGAAAATGCTTATTGGCAATCTACATCAACAAAACTTTAACCACAGACACCTTAAACAAAGGTTGGAAGATTAAACTAAGACCTAAAGCTCTGAAACAACTCAGGAACTTCCTTTTTACTGTGAATTTGGACTGTGTGAAATTAGCCATAAAAGTTATCCTCCTGACATGTATGAGCAAACTGCTTCTCTTGTGATCTCTCAGAATCTACTTATATTAAAACATAGCCTCAAATACATAAAAATTAATGACCCTATCCAGTGACAGCACACTGTGCAAGCCTTTAAATTCTTCTCTTCCATTGGTATCTACTCAGATGCACAGAAGGAAAGCTGTGATGAACAGAACTGTCATTTCTTTGTTGATGGAATTTATTTGAAATTATTACACAAAAAGATCCCTTTAAAAAGGGGAAATGACAAAAAATTATATTAGTAAACTGGCATAAACATGTAGAATATACAAAGGAATGTTACATTTAGCTGTTTAAAACACGTATTTAAATGTGCTCCAGCAGCTGCTATGAAATGGAAGCACAGAATTGTGCAAAGTGCCCACCTACCATTTCAGCAGAAACACAACCTGGCTGCTGAACTCTGATCATCCAAGAGGCCTCCACCAGTCACTCAAAGCATGAAAAATGAACCAGGTCAATACATTCACTTAGACCCTTTAAATCTCCTTCTGCCCTATATGTAACATTTCCCTAAAAAAAGGCCACTTAAAAACTACAATCTGATATATGAAGACAGGAACAGTTAAAGATTGCAAGATTTTCAATTTACAGCTCTCAACTGTCTTTAATAACTCACAGCACAGCTACACATTCATCACCTGCATTCAAGCTGGTTCCTGTTGTCTTTAGTTCAGAGGGAGCACACAGCTACGGTAGTTTCACAGAAACTCTAATGAGGATATTTAATATGGCTTTCTGTCACCACAGAGCAGCTTCTTCCAATGACAAAGACTCAACCCAGTTGTGTTCTGACCTCAGCACCAGCTGGCAAAAGCAATCTCATGTTTGCCAGAATGGTACCACTCAGCACTAGTGACACTTCTCTACTTGCAAGTGAACAGGTGAACCAAACAAGGAGTTTTGTAAAAACGCCACCAACATGTTGATAACACATTACATTTCATTCACACAAGTTATTTTTCCACTATTACAAAATATACCACTGTATTTTTGAGTTTTCCAATTTTAACATCCAAAAAACAATTAGTACCAAACTACAGATTTAATCACAAAAGCCGGAGTTTATGCACAGAGCCACAAACCACAGAGCTTGGACATACAAGTCTTGGCTGAAAAAGAATTAACCTTTCAGGTCAACACCTGTATTTCCTATATTTAATAAACATCAAATCAGACTACTTGCAGTAACTGTTGTAGCCCATGTGATTAAAAAAAATCCATCTCTCTCTAAAAATAAACATGACATTACTTTTTTTAGGTAGTCTAATAACTGTGGCTTATATTGACTTTAAAATTACAGCTGCTGTAAGCACAGCACAGCCTCTAGCACACAGAACACGCCCTGAACCAAAGGGCCACGGCTCCTTCACCCCAAGACTGGCACTGCTGGCTCCAACCACCAGCACAGTGTATCTCCTTTTACAGCAAGAGCTGAGGTCACACACCCAAAAGCTATTACCTGATATCAGATTCTCTCTTGGGATTAATCAATATTTTGGCAAAGATGACGTGTATCACCACACCAACGCTCTTCCATGTAAGATGTCAAAGCTACAAAAAGCAATTCTAGAAGAATACTTCACATGGCTTCATATCCCCAGAGGAACAGCTTCCTCCGCTGAAAAGGTTATTGGGACTCAACCACAGAGGTTCTCCTGACCCCCTCAAACCTCATGAGCAGCTGCAGGGCAGCCATAAAGTTAAAACTTCCCTCAAGTCCCAGCAGTGTGCATCTAACCTACTGAGGTCCACCTAACGTAGAGATCAAGCTGCCATGTGCTAGATAAACAGATATTGCTCTTCCAAGAAAAGGCAGCTCCAAAGAGCTCAGAAAAGTAACAAGGGACAGGTAAAACTGCCTTTATTTTAATACCTACTCAGCACAAACAGCATCAGGGCAATACAGGAAAGGTGCAGACCATTAAGGCTGAAGTGCTCAATTTTGTATTTAGCATGCAACAGGTCAGCCAAGATCTGCTCCTGACACTGTGGGGTTTAATTTTAATATTTAATTTTCCTATTTTTTGAAGAACAAGTCAATTAAAAGTTGCAGCTTTAGACATTTCAGGATTTAACATCAGGAACACAAGTCTTGGGTCCGACAGGCTCAGTCCCCTCATTATCATCAGACTGGTCTTGCCTTCATTGTAACAGACTGTGCAATATCTGTGGGTTTGATCCTCTAAACTGAAAATTCACATGGGATTTCAGATACGCTCCATTGTTCTTAAGGTATGAGATCATTTCTAAACACAAACTCTTAGTTCTCACAGATCCCATCAGACAGTTTCACAACCAAGTTCCAGAACACACTGACACATACATTTGCACATCAGCCCTGTTTGCTGCAGGACATCCACGGTCATGGACATGTCCATTCTCTGTAAATATTATTTGAATTCTGCTTTGCACATCAGCAGTGACTCACTGCAGGTGAAAGTTTATTACACCCTGGAGAGACATTTTTATAAAGCTTTGCAAAATTGGCCCATGATTTTTTACATGAACAGGCTGAAGGCTTCATCCAAGCCAAAGAAAACAGCTGCACTCAGGCGGGGGTTCACAACTGTATTCTTTAGTTATCACCATCAATTATGTAATTTTAAAAAGCAAATTATCAAGAGTGTTTTTGAGATTCCTGACACAGGGGTCCTCACGAAGACGCCTTGTGCTTTGAGGTCCTGAGTTCGCACTGAGGTACCTGAGCATGTGAAGCTGCGAAAAGGAACCAGTTCAGAGAGGCAAACGAGCTCTCCAACTTTGAACTACACAGTGGGGAAAGCCTGACTCAAAGGAAACATGTTACTCTGACTCTAAATGCAGAATCCTAAAGTGTAAAAACAAATTATAAACATTAGAAAGCTGATTTGTTTGAACTGCAAGGAGGAGAGCAAGACAGCTCATAACACTTTAAGCTTTAGAGTCAAATTTACACCAAAAAGAGAAGTTTTAAGTTTATTGTAGAAACTATTGATTGGAAAGGAAAAGCTTATAAATGTCCCTAGCTAATGAATGAATACCTTGAACTAAGGAAAAGCACTTCTGAAGCGTGGTTAGACAATGTCCTTAGGAGATGGCAATTCTCAGAGCACAGCCTGGCTTTACTACGTGTCACCACGGTCACTGCAGGTTGTTAAAGTTGTATGTGAGTGACCATAAAAATCTTCGAAGGTGCAGGAGACATGAACATTGCTGTAGTCAGTACTTACTAACAGTTTTCCAATGCACTGAGCTTGAAAGAAAATAAATTCAACAAGGTAAAACACTGCAGCTTAAATGTTTAATGCTTATTTTGAACAAAATTATTTCCAGCATAATTTAAAAAAAAAAAGGTGTAGTGGTTTGAGCCAGGTTTTCCCCTTGAAACTAGGAAAGTGGTAACCCCCAGGGGGTGGTGACCCTTGGGGTTTGACCCAATCAGTGCTCCTGCAAAATATAAACATATCTCTGGAGACCGGAAAAGAAGTAGTTGTACTGGATGTTAGAAGAACTGGTGGCCATGTTGTAGAGGCCACGAGGAAGGGGCTCCGGCCCCTTGGGGGGCTTTCCCCCCCCAGCCCCCGGTTGGGGGGCTGCAGGGACTCGGAACAGTGTTAAGACTGGGCTGAGTGCCTGTGGCTAGGAGCTGGGGGAGTTTCTTCCCGGTAAGCAGCAGTGGGAGACGCTGGGAGCAGCAGCAGAACAGCAGCGTCCGAAGAGCAGTGGCAAAGAGCCAACTGATAAGAACTGAGGAAGCAGACAGAAAAACTCCTGCAAGGAAAGAGAGAAAAGAGCCAGCAGCAGAAAGCAGGACAAGAGAACCGAGCCAGCAGCAGGAACAGAGTTTCGGGGGGTAAGAACTGGACAACCAAAACCCCCAAACTGCCTTAGAGACTCCTCTGAGAGAGAGGAGGACAACTGGACTCACTTGAAGAGTCTTGGAGTGCAGTATGCACTACAGAGAGGAGCTAAGAAGCTCCGGCCTCCTGAGAGATAAGCCAGGACGGCCAAAGGAATGTGTGTGTGTGGGGTGACCTTGGGCCCCCCCCACTGCTGCCAGGCTTCAGAGAAGCTGGCAGCCATCTTTGAGTCAGAGCATGGGAGCTCTGTGAAGGGGCTTGATTTTCCCCTGAGGATACCAAACCGTCACGAAGACCCCTGTGCTTCGTGATATGACCGTGGTGTAGCAACCTTGTCTGGGGTACCGCAGTCCACGGAAAGACCCCTTGTTTGGAGACGGGGGCCGAGAGAGGCTTGGAGGCCTCCCTCGTGTGTGCTGGCAGGGAGCCAGCAACTGCTTCTGCTGCATGGAAGAGAAGAAGAGCTTGCTGCCTAGAGAGACCTGCTGCTGAGAGACTGGAAGGGGTCTTTTCTTCTTCTTCTCTCCTGGACTTTTATTTGGAGGGAGAAGAGATTTGGCCCATTGTAAATATTATTGTCATGGTAGAGATAGAAATAGAGTTAAGATTATATATAATGTATTATAGTATTTATTTATGTGTACAGTCTTGTAATATAATTCCCTTCCCCCCACATTGAGTCTTGTGTGTTTGTCTGGAAAACCCATCTCACATGGGGTTGAGATGTGGGAGGGGGGCTAGGAATCAATAATTGGATTTTGAGGCTGTCTCAAACCATGACAAAAGGACATAAACAAAAAGCCACAACACAGTATAACATACCTGGCACAAACAGTACACAATTTTGCTCAAGGACTTTTACCCAACCAGTCATCTGAATCTTTGGAAGAACAATATCCAGTGAGAGCCTTTAAAGAAAAAAAAAAGAAAAAACAAAACCAGGTTTGTCTGAAAACAAAGTACAGACAGATCTCACCTGCAGTCCTGATGTTCTTGACTGACAAACTTGCTGAAAACACAGAAGGTGTCTTTCAATTCATAAAAATGTGACCAATATTCTGTCCTTGCCAACATTACAATACCAATATTCTGTCCTTGCCAACATTAGCCTTTGTGTTCCCAAAACCAAGAAACAGGCCCCAAAAATCTCCTCTACAAATACCTGAAGTCTCCTGTTACTGCTGGTACTGTTGTCAAATGTGAGTTCTACAATATCCCCAACTGTTAATGCTACAAACTCATTAAGTACAAAATACAATCAAAGTTTAATGCAGGTTCTCACTGGTGAAATGGGACATTTAATGAAATGGATTTATATGAAAATACTGCCCTTTTCCACAAATACAAGGCCTATGTATCTATATACACAGATTATAAAAATAACAAGCCACTTAACAGATAGCCTGGGTAAACTCAAATTTATACAGAAGTAGCACATAAACATGACATTATTTGAAGACAGTCTACCTGTATCTGCAAAAAAAAAAAAAGCTTCCTAAAAGTCCAGATACTTTACAAAATGTATCCCCTTCATATAAAAAAATCAGATTTTTTTCTTCCCATCTGCACAGCAGCAAAAAGGCAAATTTCAAGATTAAAAAAATAACAAGGAAATGAACATACTACCACAAGTTATAGCCACTCTTACCTGAGAAAATAACTCATGAATGATTCCTCTGAAGCCACTCAGAAAATAAAGTATTGTTCATAGCATTCTACCTGAAAAAAATAAAGATGGAAATTTTCAGCATTTTGCTTCAGAAAAGCAGAACAAGTCACATGCCTGAAATGTATTGATCTATAGGCAATTATTAAGTCAAGAAAACTTATGACAGCAGTAACTGCATCTTTAGAACTCAACTCGAAAAATAAAAGTACATTCTTGGCTGAAGAAAAACACACTGGAGATGAGAGTGACTGACATACAACACATATGATCTGCTCTTCTGTCTTCCATTACTTTAATTTGGAAAGACTTAGAGATCAAATGCAAATTTAACATTTTTTTATTGAGTAACTTATCACCCGATACCCCTCATCATATCTTTGGTTGTGATGCCACAGGGGAGCTGTGATGTCATGGGGAAGTGTGATGTCAGGGGGTGATGTGATGTCATGGGGAGGTGTGATGTGAGGGGGAGGTGTGATGCCGTAGGGTGGGTGTGATGTCACAGGGGAGGACGTGATGTCACCAGAAGGATGTGATGTCACGGGAAGGATGTGATGTCAGAGGGGAGATGTGATGTCACAGGAAAGATGTGATATCATATGATGGATTTGACATCATAGGGGATACGCAATGTCACAGGAAGGCTGTGTTTCATAGGGGAGATGTGATGTCACAACAAGGATGTGACATCCCAGGGAAGGTGTGATGTCCCAGGCAAGCTGTGATGTCACGTGGAGGATGTGATGTCACAGGGATGCTATGATATGTCCCAGGGATGCTATGATATGATATCACAGGAGAGATGTTACGTCATATGATGAATGTGAAGTCATAGAGGAGCCTTGATGTCATGACAAGGATGTGATTTCATGGGGAGGTGTGATGTCGTGGGGGTTGTGATGTCACAGGGGAGAACGTGACATCCCAGGAAGGATGTGATGTCACAGGGATGATATAAGATCACAGGGAGGTGTGATGTCACAAGAAGAATGTGATCTCCCAGGGGAGTGTAGCCGTGCAGGAGTTCTGTGAACAATCTGAATTGCAATTCTGAGACCTTTACCTTAGCACAGCTGGGTGCAGATAATTAAAAAATACTGCGCCACTAATATGGCCGCAGGCCTGGTGCCAAGGTGAAGGAGGAGTTTTCTTGGAAGGTGAACAAGTTTTGTGGACACCTGCTGTGGACCAATTAGTCCTGGACAACGCAGTATGTTTTCCTTATGTATCCAATGTATCTTGAGAAAGAATCACATGTCTGTGTGTGTAATTATCAGTATAAAAGCTGTTGTTTCTTCTAATAAAGCGGACATCTTGCTAATCATATTGATTCAATGCACCTTGTCTATACCTCTCCGTCAATAGGGGAGGATGTGACATCCTAGGGATGATATGAGATCAGAGGAGAGATGTGATGTCACAGGGGAGGTGTGACGCCATGGGGAGGTGTGATGTCGTGGGTGGCATTGTGATGTCGTGGGTGGCGGTGTGATGTCACAGGGGAGGACGTGATGCCACCAGAAGGATGTGATGTCATGTGATGGATGTGACATCATAGGGGATATGCAATGTCACAGGTGTTTCATAGGGGAGATGTGATGTCACAAGAAGGATGGGTTGTCACAGGGGAGGTGTGATGTCATGGGGAGGTGTGATGTCAGAGGGGAGATGTGATGTCACAGGGATGATATGCTATGATATGATATCACAGCAGAGATGTTATGTCATATGATGAACGTGAAGTCATAGAGGACCCTTGAAGTCACAACAAGGATATGATCTCACAGGATAGGTGTGATGTCACCGGGTGGACATGATGTCACAGAGATGATATGAGATCACAGGAGATGTGTGATGTCATATGATGGATGTGACGTCATAGGGGAGATGTGATGTCACAGGCAAGGACGTGACATCCTAGGGATGATATGAGATCATCGGAGAGGTGTGATGTCATATTTTTGGTTGTGATGTCACAGGGGAGCTGTGATGTCATGGGGAAGAGTGATGTCAGGGGGTGATGTGATGTCATGGGGAGGTGTGATGTCAAGGGGAGGTGTGATGTCGTAGGGTGGATGTGATGTCACTGGGGAGGACATGATGTCACAGGAAGGATGTGATGTCAGAGGGGGGATGTGATGTCAGAGGAGGGATGTGATGTCACAGGAAAGATGTGATATCATATGATGGATTTGACATCATAGGAGATATGCGATGTCACCCGAAGGGTGTGTTTCGTAGGGGAGATGTGATGCCACCAAAAGTATGTGATGTCACAGGATGGATGTGATGTCCCAGGCAAGCTGTGATGTCACGTGGAAATGTGATGTCACAGGGATGATATTATATCAGAGGAGAGATGTGATGTTACAGGAAGTATGTGATGTCACAGGGGAGCTGTGATGTCGTGGGGAGGTGTGATGTCGTGGGTGGCGGTGTGATGTCACAGGGGAGGATGTGATGTCACAGGAAGGATGTGGTGTCACAGGGAGGATGTGATGTCATATGATGGATGTGACATCATAGGGGATATGCGATGTCACAGGAAGGCTGTGTTTCATAGGGGAGATGTGATGTCACCAAAAGTATGTGGTGTCACAGCCTGGGTGTGATGTCACAGGAAGGATCAGATGTCACAGGGAGGATGTGATGTCATAAGGAATATGTGATAACACAGGAGAGATGTTATGCCATATGATGAGCGTGAAGTTATAGAGGAGCCTTGATGTCACAACAAGGATGTGATATCACAGGAGAGGTGTGATGTCACGGGGCGGACATGATGTCCCAGGGGAGATGTGATGTCACAGGGATGGTGTGATCTCACAGGTGAGGACGTGATGTCACAGGGATGACATGATATCACAGGAGTGATGTGATCTCATAGGAGAGTGTGATGTCACAGGAGAGAATGTGATGTCACAGGAGAGTTGTGATATCACAAGGGAGCTGTTTTTAGGCTGTTTTTGGTGTGTTTTTAGGCTGTTTTTCAGCTGTTTCTGGGGGTGTTTGTGGAGTATTTTTGGGGGTGTTTTGGAGTTCTTTTTGGGGTGTTTCTTGGCATGTTTTTGGTGTGTTTTTGGGCTGTTTCAGGGGTGGTTTTGGAGTGTTTTTGGGTCTGTTTTTGGTGTGGTTTTGGGGCTGTTTGGGGTCGGTTTGAGGGTGTTTCTGAGGGTGTTTTTGGGGTGTTTTTCGGCTGTTTTTGGGGGTGTTTTGGGGCTGTTTTTCAACTGGTTTTGGGCTGTTTCTGGGGTGTTTTGGGGGCTGTTTGGGGCCATTTTGGGAGTGATTTTGGGGGTGGTTTTGGGCTGTTTTTGGGCTGTTTCTGGGGTGTTTTGGGGCTGTTTTGGGGGTGGTTTGGGGCTGGTTTTGGGAATGTTTCTGGGGTGGTTTTGGGGGTGTTTTCGGGTTCTTTTCAGGGTGTTTTTTGGGCTGGTTTTCAGCTGGTTTTGGAGGTGTTTTGAAGCTGTTTCTGGGGTGGTTT